GTGTGTGTGTGCTTACACACTCGTTTGTGTGTGTTACACCTGTGTGTATGTACTCACACACCTGTCTTTGTGTGTTACACTGTGTGCACGTACTCACACACCCATTTGTGTGTTACACTGTATGTGTGTGCTTACACACTCATTTGTGTGTGTTACACCTGTCTGTGTGTGCTTACACACCCATTTGTGCGTGTTACACTGTGTGCATGTACTCACACACCCATTTATGTGTTACACCTGTCTGTGTGTGCTTACACACCCATTTGTGCGTGTTACACTGTGTGTATGTATTTACACATCCCTTAGTGCATGTTACATCTGTGTGTATGTACTCACACACCCGTTTGTGCGTGTTACACTGTGTGTACATACTCACACACCCCTTTGTGCGTGTTACACTGTGTGTACGTACTCACACACCCGTTTGTGCGTGTTACACTGTGTGTACGTACTCACACACCCATTTGTGTGTGTTACACTGTGTGTACATACTCACACACCCATTTGTGTGTGTTACACTGTGTGCACGCACTCACACACCCATTCTGTGCCCTCACACACGTGTGTGTGCACATGGCCCCATGCCATGCGTGGGTGCCAGCCCAGGTTGGGTGCCGGCCCGGCTCGGGTGCCAGCCCAGGTTGGGTGCCGGCCCAGGTTGGGTGCCGGCCCAGGTTGGGTGCCAGCCCGGCTCGGGTGCCAGCCCAGGCTGGGTGCCGGCCCGGCTCGGGTGCCAGCCCCCGCAGTTCGTCCCCTCCGTGTGCCCACCCCGGCCAGGCCGGCCGCCGGGTCCCTCTGCGATGCCCGGTGACACGGAGCCCGCGCCGGGGGCACGGCGGTGGCCGTGCCAGGCCGTGCCCTGTGCCGCAGCCCCGTCTCTCCCGCAGGACCATGGTGAACGCGGCCTTCACGGAGATCCGGGAGGCGGCTTTCGCCCACATCCCCTCCCTGCAGTTCCTGTAGGTGCCCCGTGCCCCCCGTGCCCCGCTCGGTGCCCACCGCGGTGCCCACCTTGCCCGGGCCCGCCGCTGATTCCTCCCCCGTTCTCTTTGCAGCCTCCTCAACTCCAACAAGTTCTCGCTGATCGGGGACAACGCCTTCGCCGGGCTCCCGCACCTGCAGTACCTGTGCGTGGCACGGGGACGGGGCACGGGCACAGCGGGCACGGGGAGGGCACAGGGAGGGTGTCGG